AGGGCAGGGAGGATGCTTGGGGAAAGAGGCAGGTTGGCTTCGGAGCCCCTTGGCTGGCTGTGAGGACCAGGAGCGCAGCCCTGCAGCCACACGGCTCCCAGGGAGCTACACTCTTAGCCCTTGCCCGCAGGGCTCTGCAGCAACCCTAGTCTCTTCCTTGAACATCTACCCCATCTTTGCTTAGTCAATGCTAGCCCCTCTGCAGCTGGCAGCAGCATTGACTGTCTGGCATTGACCGGCTGGCATTGACCTTTTCTGGTGCAGCAAATTCCTTAGCTTGGGACTGGTCAGGGTGCTGGATCAAGGAGCTGCAACTTGTAACTGCAAAATACAGGTTGAGAAGTGAGCCAACACCGCTAGTCGTAGGCAGGAGAATTTATATTGTCCCCTTAACTCCCCACCCCCTTTTACATAATTCCCTAGAAAATGTGTTTACAGAAGACTCCAAAGTAGAATTGTCATCTTTGCAAAATCTTAGGTCCACATAACGCATGTCATATGATGTGGTTCAGTCATTAAATGTTTGATGAAAAGAGTCTACTTATACCGAGCTGCATCACATTAAAGGAAATATTTTTAAAAAGTTTAAAATCAAGTAGTACTGAGATGGGAACTAAACCTTATCTGACTTTTAAACTTTTTAAAATGCTCTACATTTCCATTATATAATATCAGTGTGCGAGGAGAGCGTCCCATGTCAAGGGAACTTTCCCAGCTACCAGAGTCACAAACTCTACACTAAAGCAAAACTGTAAGACCTTTAGATATGTGTTGGAAGAGTGGTCAATTTAAAATTAGTTTGCAGTCTTCCCCCACCCCAAATTACTCTGTTTAATATAAGAAAAAAATTGTAATCAATTGTAATTTTTCATAATGTCCAACCATTTTAACACTGAAATACATTGGATAAAATATTAAGATGCTTACAATAAATAAATATTTATATAAACAGATGATAGCAAAGAGAACTTACTTTATTGCATTCATAATGCATCAAAGTAGTCATTACACAAAAATGCATACAGAAAACATGAAATTTAGCTGTTTTTTTCTTTTTCTTTTAATCTACCTATTTATTCTTGGGAGAATTTAATCTATCACCAAGAAAATATAGAATATTGCTAGATTTACAAGCAAACCACTGAATATATTGCAGCAACAAATACAATAGCCATGTGGACTTAATACATTGGGAGAAACTCCACTCTCATTTTACTTGTGAATTAGAGAAGAGAATTTAGTTTATTAAATCCCAAACTAACAGTTCATAATATGTGGGTGAATTGATGCACCTGCATGTTGAAAAGTTTAACATAGAAATTGAACTTAGTTTTTCTGTTTCTAAATCTTTACCATGTTTGAATTTGGAGCCTTTACAGATGATCTTTAATGCACTGCTAAATTTTTATTTAAATTATTCTTTTCATATGAAGTGTTTTGGGATTTTTTTGATCACAAATTGATTTTTATTGCAATTTTGTCTTGTTCCTACACAGAATGACAGAGCTATACTTCTAGAACCTTTGTTGTTTGTTCTTTTTGTTGCCTTGTTTTATATTATTTTGGAAAGAAATTCTGCAAAATATTGGAAAGATTGTTAGTTTTGTAGGGCCTGATCTCGCAAAAACCTGTGTAATACTTTTTCCTTGCCATAATCCCATTGACCACAAATGAAATAGAGAGCATCGCTGCTGGAATTTCAAAGAAGCCCAAAGGAGTTAGGCACCCAACTGTTACTGAAAGATTTGTGCATCTAACTCTTTTAGACCTATTTGAAAATCTCAGTCTACACCATCTAGTAAGTGTACAAGTTTGGGCCCTCAGATGCTTAAGCTTTGATCATGAAATACTATTAAACATATGTGACTTACTTACTTGAGCTAAATTACATACATGATTATTAAATGCTTTGCAAGATCAGGATTTAGGGTTTTAATCCTACAGGCTACGTCTACACTGGCCCCTTTTCCGGAAGGGGCATGTAAATTTCAGCAGTCGTCGTAGGGAAATCCGCGGGGGATTTAAATATCCCCCGCGGCATTTAAATAAAAATGTCCGCCGCTTTTTTCCGGCTTTTAAAAAAGCCGGAAAAGAGCGTCTACACTGGCCCCGATCCTCCGGAAAAAGCGCCCTTTTCCGGAGGCTCTTATTCCTACTTTGAAGTAGGAATAAGAGCCTCCGGAAAAGGGCGCTTTTTCCGGAGGATCGGGGCCAGTCTAGACGCTCTTTTCCGGCTTTTTTAAAAGCCGGAAAAAAGCGGCGGGCATTTTTATTTAAATGCCGCGGGGGATATTTAAATCCCCCGCGGATTTCCCTACGACGACTGCTGAAATTTACATGCCCCTTCCGGAAAAGGGGCCAGTGTAGACGTAGCCACAGTGTTTTGCACTGGCACAGCTTTGCAATGTCCCATTGAAGTAAATGGGACACCATACAAACATAAGTCTTTGTGCAAACTGATCTTTTCTCTACATTTTTTTTTTGTGAATATGTATAATATGTTTTCAAATTTAACACTGAAAAGTAAAATTATTTGCTAAATACACTTTTAAAAAAAATATGCCCTTTACTGAACTATTGCCTTTACTCTCAAAATGTAATTGTGTCTGCATCTCATTTTGCCTTCAAAAGATAAATTGAATAGTTGCAAGCATATTTGCTCAGTTACATTCACCAAAATGTTTAGCTATGAATTGCCGGAACCTTAGAAATTAAGCAGGTATTTAAAAACTGAATGCATGCTTACCTGTGTTTTGTATAAGGTGCTTTCTTAGGCAAACTGAGTGAATAACTCTCATTTCTGAATTGTCCATGGTTTCTAAATCGGTTAGAAGTTTAAAAATAAAATGTCTTTCTCTACAACACTTGTCCTTTTAATTTAGGCAAATATGGAGTTCTCTCCCCTGGTTGCTCAATGTTTTTCTGCCACAATTATCAGTGATGTCAGAACAATTTGAGAAATTGTGTTAGCTAAATACTACTACAGAATCTGCAGAAGGAGAACAAAAGTATCATAAGTGTGTGTGTGTTTAAATTGATGAATATAGTAATGTATGTGTTTCAAAGGATATTTAAAATAATATATCACCTTTACAGATTTGGATTTGGCAGCTTTCAAGGTGGAGTAATTTTCTTACCCAGATCATGGTTTGTCCTGTTTTAACCATGGAAGTGGAGAATGATAGGACAGATTAGTGATTCATCCAGAAAATTTGAGGCCTTAATCCTGCAAAGCCTTAAGCATATGTATAACGTTATGTTAGTCACACCATTGAAGTCACAGAACTACTTGCATTAGTGAAATTACACATGTGCTTGAATCAGGGGTGGGCATTCACTTTTCAATGGGGGCCACTTCAAAAAATTTTAAAGTGGTTGCGGGCCACCCCGGAATAGACAGGGCTTTGGGCAGAAGGGGCAGGGCCTTTAAATAGTAGGAAAAGGCTTGCGCCTCCCCTGCAGCTCCCAGAAAGCCGTTTCAATTCCTGCTCTTTAAGGGACTTGCTGCTCCTGGCTTCACTGCTAGCGCGTTGCCTAGGAGCCGGAGACACTACAGCCCTTCAAATGCTTCTATTTAAAAGTCTCGCTGCCTGGGAGCCAGAAACGCGTGAGCCCTTTCTACCAGTGTTCCCTCGGAGACTTGCCACTCAGGAGCGGAGTGCTTTGTCTTGTGCACCAGCACTGAGTTCATGTGCGTTTGCCCCAAGTTATTAATAAGTATCTTATAAACCTCTCCCTTTTCCCTCTGCTGCCATGTCTCCCACCCTCCCCTTGCCCCATCTGCTCCCCTGGTGCCTGCTGCCTCCCAGCCCTCACCCTCGTCTGATCTCCTGGTTCCTGCCATTCTCACTTCCCTCAGCCCTTTGGGGACCTGCTCCTCTCCCCATCCTCCTTCACCCCTGCACCCACCCTTCTCTTCCCCTGTGCTCACCCCTCCTCTAGTCCCACTCTCATCATCTGTAGCTACCTCTCACCATCCCCTCTCCTAGCAACCCCTCTGCTTACCTGCGCTGCCTCTCTCCTCTGGTGCCCATCCCACCACTCCACGTGTCTGCCCTTCTGCTTCACTCCCACAATCCCCTGGCACCTGCTCCTTCCCTGACTGCCCCTGCCCTCCTTGCCCTCTTTCTCCCTCACCATCCTCTGCTCCAGCTCTCCTCATGCCCCTCTCTGCCCTCACATGACTTGCTCCATCCCCTGCCTTCCTCATGCCCATCCCTCCTTTCAACCCCTCTTCTCCCGGCATCCACCCCTCCCCTCTCCTCTTCCTCCTGCTTGCCTGCATTGTCTCTCCCCTTTCCTCTCCCAGCATCACCGTGTCTCCTTCCCTCTCTACCTCCACCCTCCCTTCCATCCCTTGCCCCCTTATTTTATTTTGTCAGAATGCTAATCATCTCATAATTGGTGCATAGTTTGCAGTGTATGTGTATCTTTCATCTACACCCCAGACTTTCTTTTGATGAGGCTGTGTAAATGTTTTTAACGTGCATTTTCTGTAGTGGTCTACAGCAGAAGGTGTGGACATCACTAACTTCAGAAAAATGTTTGGAGAAAAATTTTATTTCCGTATGCCTGTGACATGCACGTTAAATTACAAATACCTTTCATAAAAATATGTAACAGTTGTTTCTTTTCTCCAGGTGCTAAGGGTATGTCTACATTTGCCCCCTAGTGCAAACTAGGAAGGCAAACAAAGCATACCGAAGTTGCAAATCAAGTGTGGGATTTAAATATCCTGCAATTGATTAGCATAATCGCGGCCGGTCGCCATTTTAAAATGCCGGTCACCTGATTTAACTTGCCGCATGTAGACACGGTAGTCTGATTTCAAACCCTTCCCTCGAATTAACTGTTACTCCTCATTCCGATCGAACTACTGTATCTACATACAGCAAGTTAAATCCAGTGACCAGCATTTTAAAATGGCGACCGGACGCAATTATGCTAATTAAGCGTGGGATATTTAAATCCCGCGCTTGATTTGCAAGTTTGGTATGGTTCATTTGCCTCTCTAGTTCAAACTAAGGGGCAAGTATATACATACCTTAAGTTGTTTCATGAAGACACAAAAGATGGATGGCTTGACTGAGCTATTAATAGCTGTATTGGTCAGCATCACTTTGTTTTAAACTAGTGAGCCATCTATTTTTCTACATTAAACAAATACTAACTGTAGTATTAGAGTAGTCTTGAATTTCCTGCAGACCAGTTATGATGGGGAAAGATAGTTCTCAATCAAATGGACACAATTCTGATTTATTTTACTTGAAGGTGTGAAAGTAAGTAAAACAATGTGATGACTTGAAATTGCATTGGGACAAAAGTAACATAACTCTGTTGGTTTGGAGTTCACACCAGTGCTATAGGCTTGGATCCAGAATTATTCAAGTAGGCTGTGGACACCGTATCCAGTTCCATAAAGGCAGAGTAAAGAGTCGTGAGTTGTAGATCAGGTAAGCTGTTCTGTGGAGCGCTATTCTGGATGGTGAGGTTGCTGCTGCTGCTGCTGCTGCTGCTGCTGTTACTATCCATCTGACAGTGAGAAGGGAAGCACTGAGAGGAGATTGGGGATGTTGAAATGAGAACCAAGGGATCCACTGCCAGGCTGTCATCTTTCAGCTCTTCCCAAAGATTTCCTATAACAAAAAAACAAGACCAACACATTGATGTAGTCTTCAGCTCGTGTGTGTGTGTGTGTGTGTGTGTGTGTGTGTGTGTGTGTGTTTATTTTATGTAAGAGATACTAGTCAGTGTACTCTATGTGCATCATGTCTACAGCAATCACTTGAACAACAAAACAGAGAGCAAGAACTGGTTTATATTCTCAGCCAACAAATTCAGCTTTGACAGAATGTATACTTTCATTTAAAACAGGTATCTAACCATATTTTTTCCACGCAGCACAGTCAACCTGTGGAACTCCTTGCCAAAGGATGTTGTGAAAACCAAGACTTCTATGGGGTTCAAAAAAGAGCTAGCTAAATTCATGGAGGATATATCGATCAGCCAGGAAGGGCAGGAATGGTATCCTTAGCCTCTATTTGTCCAAGGCTGGGAATGGGTGAGAGGTGAGGGATCACTTGAGGTATGTCTACACTACATCCCGCTTTTGACAGAGGGATGTAAATCAGGCACTTCAAAATTGCAAATGAAGCCGGGATTTGAATTTCCCGTGCTTCATTTGCATAATGGCGTCCGCCACTTTTTTTGGAAACAGGGCTTTTTTGAAAAACAAAACTAAAACTGCAGTTTAGACGAGGATCTTTCGAAAATAAAACCTCATTTTTTGAGGAGTGCAGGATCTTTCGAAAAAGGGTTTTATTTTCAAAAGATCCATGTCTAAACTGCTGATTTTTTTCGAAAAGGTCCCATTTCGAAAAAAAGTGGCAGCCTCCATTATGCAAATGAAGCACGGGAAATTCAAATCCCGGCTTCATTTGCAATTTTGAAGTGCCTGATTTACATCCCTCTGTCAAAAGCGGGATGTAGTGTAGACATACCCTTGATGATTATCTGTTCTGTTTATTCCCTCTGGGGCATCTGGCATTGGCCACTGTGGGCAGACAGGACACTGGGCTAGAGGGATCTTTGGTCTGACCCAATCTGGCTATTCTGCTGTTCATATTGTCAGGAACATACTTTGAAAATATGACTTGATGAATTATCAACAGAAAGAAGCTACTTTGAAAGGAACAAACCACCTCACATTCTTCTCAACAGGCTGTTTATTCTTACAACCAATGATGATGCTTTGAGTTTGTCTACACATTTAGATGGGAAGTGTGGTTCGTAGCTTGAGGAGATGTACATTAGTTCTGATGGAACTGAGGCTTGATCCATGCTAGCAGTTGTCACTCAGGGTGGGGCTAGAGGTGATACTTACCAATTGCCCATTCACATCCCTACTCTAAGGCTGCATCTAAACTGGCATGATTTTGCACAAAATCTTGCTGCCTGTCTACACTGGCCGCAAGTATTTGCGCAAGAACACTGACTTTGTAATATACAAAATCAGTGGTTCTTGCGCAAATACTCCGACGCTCCCGCTCAGGGATAAGCCCTCTGGTGCAGGTATTCTTGCGCAAGAGGGCCAGTGTAGACAGCCATGTTAATTTCTTGCGCAAGAAAGCCGGATGGCTAAAATGGCCATTGGAGCATTCTTGCGCAAGAGAGCATCTACACTGGCATGGAGGCTTTTGCACAAAAGCACATCTTTTACGCAAAGGCACAGGCCAGTATAGACTCTCTCTTGCACAAATACTTTTAACGGAAAAACTTTTCCGTTCAAAATATTTACGCAAAATCATGCCAGTCTAGACGCAGCCTAGGGGTACTGCTGGAGTGAGGTTGTTATACTGGCTTGTTGACAGTGTTATGTCAATGGGAGGGATTCGCCTAATGGCATAGCTACTGCCTCCTGGGGAGGTGAATTACTTATACCTCTCATTGGCTCAGGTAGCAGTGTTACTGACATGCTACCGAAGTGCAGCTGCACCACTTCAGCCTCTTCTGTGTAAACAGTCCCTGAAAATAGAGTGTAGCTGCAGCCTCATGCATGATGGGAAGTGCTAGCATGGGCTTATCTCCGGAGGGAATCATGCCCTCAGCTCAAAGTGTAGACAAAACTAAAATAGACAGATTTTCAAATAATGTCAATGCACAATTATGTGCTTAATTTGCACATGAAGTTACCTCAATTGTGATGTCAAATCAAAGTCATTGCATGTAGAAAAGGTCAAAGAAGTAAACATCAGATTGCATATCTTATTTCAATTGTATTTCAAAATGGCTTATTTCTAAATTTAGCACATCCGCACAGCACCAAATGTCAAAATAACATGCTATTTCAACATATCCCTTAACCCTTGTGGAAAGAGAGTTACAGGGATGCTGAAATAGTGTGCTCATTATTTCGAAAAATATTTTGAAATAAGGGGCATGTTTAAAAGATGTACGGTAGCTATTTTGGGATATCTCTGGTATCCCAAAATAGCCCCGCTGTCTAGATGTACCCTTAGGCTGCATCTAGACTAGCAAGCTGTCTTCACTGGCCGCTTGAATTTCTGCAAGGACACTGACGATCTCATGTAAGATTGTCAGTGTTCTTACGGAAATGCTATGCTGCTCCCATTCGGGCAAAAGCCCTCTTGCGCAAAAGCATTTGCACGAGAGGGCCAGTGTAGACGAGGAGTAACGGTAGTTCGAACTAGGAAGCCTAGTCCGAACTACCTAGTTCGTGCCGCGTGTAGCCGCGCGGCACGGGGTTCGAACCAGCCGGGATTTAAAAATTGCGGCGCCCGGCTTATGCAAATGAAGCCCGGGAAATTCAAATCCCAGACTTCATTTGCAAGTGCAGTATGCCTACATTACCCCGCTAGTTCGAACTAGCAGGGTAGTGTAGACATACCCTAAGGTATTTAGAAAGGGTGAGGAGCCTAGATTGAGGAATAGACTATTGAATTTTGTTTTTGGAAATGTGTAGAATGGTGCACTTAAAAATCCACTTGTTAATCATCAGTAACTAATGGGAAAATGTATATGCTACAGAGTCTTTTGACCATTTGGAGATGGTCTATCAATTTTTGATGCTATTATTCCCTGTTGCGTTAGATCTTGACAAGGGAGCTGGAAGAGTATTTTGCCATAACTATTTTGTATACTCGACTCTATAGTATCCACAAGCCTGCACTGTGCCTCTTCAGTTTCCACTGTTGTACTTTCTTATATTTCCATGAGGCTGTTTGGCGGGCTCCTGTCTCCCCTCCCCATCCTGTGGAACATTCTAGCAGGGGCATTGCATCCTCTAATCCAGAGATTTTTCACTTAATTTTGACACTTCTACTGAAGCTTAGTTTTGCAGTGGAAGGGTGATGTGGGCCTTGAGCGTGATACATAGTGACAGGAATATTTGTTTGTCTGAGAACAGGAGCTTTCATGTCTGCAATACACAGTCCTTTCAGAGAATTTTACCAAACACAGGGTGATCATAGAAATGATTACCCAAATATCTGAGGTAAAATACATAAGGAGCAAGTAGGGTTTGGTTTGGTTTTTTTGCAAAAAAACTAGAAGAGGATTGTAACAATAGCAGTGAATACAACCAAAAATATGTACAGTACATTCAAACAAACACACATTTCCTTGTTTTCACATGCTGTTGTATCAGACATTCATCTAATCTAGGAAACTTTTTACTTAGGAAATGTGTGTTAAAATCAAGGGCTACATTTCACTTATTGGACTGCAGAATTTAGTAACAGCAGATTCTGTTGGGATTAAACAGTTTCTACATTATGTCTTCTCTAGGTAACATTCTCTCTAAGCAATATTACATTCTATACTGCATGGCTGTATCTACACTGGGCCACTTATTCCGGAAAAGCAGCCGCTTTTCCAGAATAACTTGCCAGCTGTCTACACTGGCCGCTTGCTTTTCCAGAAAAGCAATGATGATCTTCTGTAAAATTGTCAGTGTTTTTCTGGAAAAACTATACTGCTCCCGTTCGGGCAAAAGTCTTTTTCCGGAAAAACTGTTCCGGAAAAGGGCCAGTGTAGACAGCCCAGTACATGACAATCGGGGCTTTTTTCTGGAAAAGCGCGTCTACATTGGCCACAGACGCTTTTCTGAAAAAGGGGCTTTTCCGGAAAAGCATCCTGCCAATGTAGACGCTCTTTTTCCGGAAATACTTATAACGGAAAAATATTCCGTTTTAAGCATTTCCGGAAAAAGGTGCCAGTGTAGACGTAGCCCAGGAGATAATGAATTCACATGAACTGCTCTTCTCTGTGGAATGAAGAAATAGCTCAAGAAAGGAACTAATGGTAGTTTTCTAATAATTATTTTTTCAGGTGTGCAAGGTACCTTGGAAAAGGAGATTTATTCTGTGGTTAGATCTTGATATGATCAGAGTACAGATAACAAATAAACATTTGGTGGAGTATCAGGCACCTACCTTGGAGATCAAAGTCAATCAAGGAAGGGTTAAGAGCATCGATATCATTGCTCATGTCTGCTTCTTGCATGAGTGTGTCCTGCATTGTCCTGGCTGTGGAGTGCTCTGTTAGCATCTTCATACTGCCTATGGGAGGGGTCTGTGCTGGCAGGGGTGAGTCTTGTGTGGTGCTAGGTTGTGCTCTCAGTTCACTTTGAGCGTTTGCAGAAGGGAAGATGCTGTGAGGGATATCGGGTGATTGTTGCATTAAGGTAGGCGAGATCTGAGGGAAAGCCTGGGGTGATGTAAAACATGGAGTTTGGTGCCCCCCAAGGAAACTTGGCAGTGGGTTCTTGGCACACAGAGGTCCTGTTGTGTGAATAGTATGTAAAAGCTGTGGGATACTGGATGACAGGGTTGGCTCACACAGAGAATGTTGCTGGACTGACATCTGTCTGGAAACTGTTGAACTTGCTACACCAGTTGGATTGCAGGACATAGCTGAAGATCTTAGTTTTTCAGCCTTTTCTCCTATCAGTGTGTCAAGTTCTTCTGAAAGGCAAAAACAGAAAAAAATCAAAATATATTTTGATGCAGTGCTGTTAAAGCCAGTCCAACATTAAGCTTGTTGTCTGCCAAAATTAATATGTGAGGAAAATGCTGACCTTAAAACAGCAATGAAGTTGGTACCTAGTATGGAAATCCAGACCTAAGGAGTACCCATCAATCGCAAGTGAGTATTTCACAAAGTATATTTTTTAAATTTAAGGATCGGAGAGCTGCATACTAAAAAAAACCCCAAGTTTTATTCCTCAATGCTTAATTCTGTCTCCTTTGTATCAAAGATTAGACAGATGTCAAAGGAGACACATCTTTCACTGAAATCATAGGGAATACACCTCTGAGCTCCAGGGTGCCTTTTGATCTCTAGCTTTATAAAACTTTGGTAGTTGCTCAGCAAAAACAGCTCTTACTCTAGTCCTAATCATACGTTTTTGTGCTGCCAACCATTGAATAAGCAAGAAGCCTTGGACAGGCATTGCGTCCCTTCGCAGCACTCAAATCCTCCTCTATTGCTTGATTCTCAAAATATTTACACTCCCTGATGCTAAGGATTCTGTGGATCACTGAGAACTAATGCACTAGCATATTACTAACCTGGTTTTGCCATACTTTTCCTCACAGCAACTGGATCTTTCCGCTTCCATTTCTGAAGCTCTTCCTGCATCTTATCAATTTTGGCTGGATTCAGTGCCCATAAACAACCTTTCCGAGAAGAGCCACCTGACTTGTTTTCAACTTTCTCAAAGCATTTGTTCAAGGATAAGTTATGGCGAACAGAGTTCTTCCAACCATCTGGTGCTGTCTGGAAAAATAAATGTAAACTAAAAAGTGAACTTGAAGATAGATTCCCAAATATATCTCTACTATCTAGCATTGTGTATTGTTTATGAAGTGAAAGAGCTAAAGTGGCAGGAAAGAGAGGTTGCTCAAAGAAATTAGAGCTGGAAAAAGCACTTAATTCAGATCTATTTTTTTTTTTGCCAAAGGGCTCTTCTCAAGGTTGTTTCCAGCCATGCATTTGCCTGTTCTTTGACCAGTTCAGTTTTTAAGGATCCCAACAATGATTCTTTCATCACTTCCATTAAGAATTTGTTCCACAATGGTGTGTAGAACTTACTACCAGGAACATTTTTCTGATAGAGACTTTTCAACAGTAGGAAATTATGACGACTCATTCCCATTCTCAAGCTGATTTTTAGGAAGAGTAGTTACATGATAATATCCAGAGGGGAAACAGAACCTCTCTCTTTTCTCAAAAGACCTTACTTTTAGGAGCACAACGTCCTTTACTCATTCGAGGGATGCTCAATGGTACTTACCAGAGTACTGATTCATAGAGAACAGTGATGTTCCAAAGATCACTAAAATCAATGGAAAAACCTCCATAGATTTCAGTGGGATTTCAGTTAGGCCCATAATCACTACTGTCACTTGCTGTAGCACCTTCAGTACTTCCTTTCCTTCTTCAAGTGCTTGCTTATGTCCAATGGAAGGCTTTTCCTCTAGCACAGGGGTGGGCTGGAACTTGACTTCATTCACAAGTTTTATTCTTGTGCAAACAGTATGAACTGGGATATCAGCTGGCTCCAATATTCTTTCACATCTTAATGACTTAACCAACCAACCAGCAAAGGTGCTCATGGTTCTTATCAGCCTCTTATAACTATTTGAACTATCTACTCACTAGCTTCAGGGGTTAGCCGAATTAGTCTGTACAGGATACACTTAAAAAACAACAAATAGGGTTACCAGATGGTTTCAAAAAAATACCAGACGCACTTGATCTCAGATGGGGGGGGGGACTGGCGGGGAGAGGAGTGGGGCTGGCTAGGAGGAGGTTGCGGGGAGCGGGGCTGGCCAGGAGGGGGTCAGGAGGAGCAGGGCTGTCTGGGGAGATTGGGGGAAGGAACCAGCCAGGGGGAAGCAGGGCTAGCCGGGAGGGAGTGGGGGAGGGAACCAGTTGGTGGGAAGCAGGGCTGGCCGGGAGCAGATTGGGGGGATATGCAGACCCAAAATGAATAGGGGAGAAGGGAAATGAAGGAAGGAAAAAAGGAGGGGGCCGGAAATAAGGAGCAGAGGGTATGAGAATATCAAAGGGAAAAACAGGAAGGCAGAGCTGGCAATCTGTAAGCACCTGAAGATTGGATAGTTAAAAGGAAGCAGATAAGGATCAAAGGGTTGCAATAGATAGGGAGGGGACTAACTGCAAGAATCTGCAGAGACAAAGGCCTGTTTGCACCTTCCTTGAATGTTAGATTAATGTCCTGCCCCCCCTTTTTTCCTTCCCCCCTCCTTTCTCCCCTATTTATTTTGGGTCTGCACATCCTAAATTCAAAATTCCGGTCATCTGAAGAAGTGGGCTGTGCCCACAAGAGCTCATGATCCCATCTACATGTTTTGTTAGTCTAGAAAGTGCTACCAGACCATTGGTTGTTTTTTAAGTTTATCTACTCTCTCTTTTTTGTCTTCCTCCTCTGCTTTTTCTTCTCTTTTTTTCTTCTCTCTCTCCTCTTCCCCCCCCCCCTTCCCTTATTTATTCTTGGATTTGGACTTCTAACACCCCTGTCGTTGGAAGAAGTGGGCTGTGCCCACAAGAGCTCATGATATCATCCACATGTTTTATTAGTCTATAAGGTGTTTAAGTTTTTCTTCAATTAGTTATTGTAACTAGTTGTAAATAATTACTCATTAGTGTTAATTAGTTGATTAGTACGGAGCTGGGGCATCTTCCCTGGTTCTCTTTGCCCTGATTGGGGACCCTCAGTCCCAGGGCTTGACACCTATGCCCATGGTGATCCACAGGGGAGAGTCCTCAGGTGGATGGGTGCAAGACTTGCTAGGGCTTAAAGCCAAGAACAAAGAAGTAGAGAGACTGTCCCTGGAAACTCCTAATAGAATCTGTGCTTCATCCGGAGCTGGCACCTACAGTCACGGTGTACAGCACATCCGAATTAGTGCAGGAGCCCTCTGCACTGAAGGAGGACTTTGGTAAGGAGCATTGACACTGCTCTCCAGCCCTGAAGCCCAGCTCCACCTAGTGGCACTGTTCAAAATTGCCGGGGCTGCATAGGAAGAAGGCGGTGGACAAGGGCCACTTGCTGGCATGGAACATTGGTGAGGTGCATCCTGTGTTGGGACACACCAAATCTGGCCTTCAAGTCCCACAAACATTGACTCTGGCCAGGAGAGGAGGCTTCTAGCCAGCTTTCTATTCATCTTACTGTCCATTTATCCAATCCACATTCCCTTAACTTGCTGGCTAGAATATTGTGGGAGACCATATCAAAAGCCTTGCTAAAGTCAAGGTATATCACATGCACTGACTTCCCCATGTCCACAGAGCCAGTTACCTCATCATAGAAACTAATCAGATTGGTCAGGCACGACTTGTCCTTTGTGAATCCATGCTGACTATTCCTAATCACTTTCCTTTCTTCCAAGTGCCTCAAAATAGATTCCTTAAAGATCCCTTCCATGATTTTTCCAGGAACCGAGGGAAGACTGACCGGCCTATAGTTCCCTGGATTGTCCTTCTTCCCTTTTTTGAAGATGGTCACTACATTTGCCTTTTTCCAGTCATCCAGGATTTCTCCCGATCTCCACGATTTTTCAAAGATAATGGCCAAAGGCTCCGCAATGACATTTGCCAACTCCCTCAGAACCCTCGGATGCATTAAGTCCGGACCCATGGATCTGTGTACGTTTAGCTTTTCTAAATAGTTCCTAACCTGTTCTTTACCCACCGGGGGCTGTCCATCTTCATCCCATCTTGCGTCACTTAGCGCGTTAATCCAGGAGCCGACCTTGTCCATGAATACAGAGGCAAAGAAAGCATTGAGTACTTCAGCTTTCCCACATCATCTGTCACTAGGTTACCTCCTTCATCCAGTAGGGGCCCCACACGCTCTCTGATCATCTTCTTTTTGTTAACATGCCTGTAGAAACGTTTCTTGTTATCCTTCACATCCTTAGCCAGTCGCAATTCCAACTGCGCTTTCACCTTCCTGATAACCCCCCGGCATTCTCGAGCTAGACATTTAAACCCTCCCTGGTCATTTGTCCAAGTTTCCACTTTTTGTAAGCTTCCTTTTTGTGCTTAAGTTCACCAAGGATTTCCCCTGTAAGCCAATCCGGGCTCCTACCATGTTTGCCTCTCTTGCTATGCATCGGGATGGTTTCTTTCTGTGCCTTCAATAAGGCTTCTTTAAAATACTGCCAGCTGTCCCGGACTCCTTTCCCCTTCATGTTAGCATCCCAGGGGATTCTGCCCATCAGATCTCTGAGGGAGTCAAAATCTGCTTTTCTGAAGTCCAAGGTGTGTATTTTACTACTCTCTTTTCTTCCTTTGGTCAGAATCCTGAAATCTACCATCTCATGATCACTGCTTCCCAGGTTGTCACCCACCTCCGCTTCCCTTATTAGTTCCTCCCTGTCTGTGAGCAGAAGGTCAAGCTGCGCACGGCCCCTGGTCGGATCCTTCAGCACCTGTGTCAAGAAGTTATCCCCAACATTCTCCAAAAACTTCCTGGATTGCCTGTGTACTGCCGTATTGTTTTCCCAACAGATGTCTGGGTGATTAAAGTCCCCCACGAGAACCAGGGCCTGCAATCTGGAAGCTTCTCTCGGTTGTCCAAAGAAAGCCTCATCTACCTCATCCACCTTATTTGGTGGCTTGTAGTAGACACCAACCACAACATCACTGCTGTTGTTTGCACCTCTAAACTTAACCCACAGACCCTCAACAGGTTTTTCTCCCTCTTTATTCTGGAGTTCAGAGCAATCATAGTGCTCTCTTACGTATAGTGCAACTCCGCCTCCTTTTCTCCCCTGCGTGTTCTTCCTGAACAGTCTATACCCTTCCATGACAGAGCTCCAGTCATGCGAGTCATCCCAAATCTCTGTTATCCCAATTAAATCATATTTCTTGGACTGGGCCAGGGCCTCCAGTTCTCCCTGTTTGTTGCCCAGGTTTCTTGCATTAGTGTACAAACGCCTCAGATAACCAGTTGATCGCCCTATCTTCTCCATTCGAATCAGGGGTCCTCCTTTCTTGCTCGTTCCTCTTTGCATTTCTTCCTGGTATCCAACTTTTCCACTCCCCTCAGGGTTTTGGTCACCATCCCCCCACAAACCTAGTTTAAAGCCCTCCTCACTAGGTTTGCAAGCCTGCCCACGAAGATGCTCTTTCCTCTCTTGGTTAGGTGGATCCCATCTCTTCCTAACAATCCTTGTGCCCGGAACAGAGTCCCATGGTCGAAGAAACGAAAGCCCTCTCTGCAACACCACCTGCGCAACCACGCATTTACGTCCTCAATTCGACGATCCCTGCTCAGTCTTTTCCCTTCAACAGGGAGGATGGACGAGAACACCACTTGCACTCTGAATTCTTGGATCCTTCTTCCCAGCGCTACATAATTTGCAGTAACCCGCTCAAAGTCATTCTTGGCTGTATCCTTAGTTCCCACATGGAGTAGCAGGAAGGGGTAGTGATCCGAAGGTCTGATCAGTGTGGTAAACCTCTCAGTCACATCCTGAATTTGAGCTCCCAGTAAGCAGCACACCTCTTGAGATTCCTGGTCCAGACAGCAGATGGATGGCTCAGTCCTTCTTAAGAGGAGTCCCCGACTACCACCACCCATTGTCTTCTTTTGGGGGTAGTGGTCATGGAACACCCATCCCTAGGACTACACATCCCATGCCTTCCAGTAGATGGTGTTCCCTTGCGGTTTCTTCCTTGTGAGGTCTCATCCAAAGCATTCACTACTGCAGAGCCTGTGAAGAGAGCCTGAAAGCGATTACTTA